TACTACTACTACTACTACTACTACTACTACTACTACTACTACTGTTACTACTACTGTTACTACTACTGCTACTACTACTGTTACTACTACTGCTACTACTACTACTACTACTACTACAAATAAACTGCTGCTACCACTACTAGTAGCAGTGTTACTCTTGGTAGTAATAATAGTAACATTAATAACGGCAAGAATAGCGTCAGAATAACATCAACAAATTGTCATAGTTACCTAGTGACACCGACGTTGCGAATGACGTTTTGTCGTCTGATGACGTCACCGTCACTATCATCATAATCTCCTTTTCGTCATCATTTCCATTGCTATCTTTTTTCATGGTAACGCGAGGATAATTCACACCATTTCGGCATTTCATCATTATATATACGTCATCCTCTGGTCAGGACTACAAAAATTACATTCAGTGACATCATCGTCATGAGGAACAACATAATCATTACGTCATGACGTCAATAACAACATCGTGACGTCATCAAATAGAAACGTAGTCACCATCGTCATCACAACATCATCGTCGTCGTCATCATCAACATCATCACCATCAAATTATTTTAAAAGCCCACAGGTCATCAGTCATTCATCACCTCAGCTATCATTCATCGTAATTCATGTCAGCGCAATAACATTCATTACCATCATCGTCATCATAATCATCATCATCATCATCATCATCATCATCATAATCATCATCATAATCATCATCATAATCATCATCATCGTTGTCATCATTGGCTATATTACCGTTGATATCATTGTGATATCATCATCGTCGTCATCATCTTCATTATCATTGCTAATATTGTTGGCACCATCATTAGCATTCCAAATATCATGATATCACCAACGCCGTCTTCATCATCGCCATCATCATCGTCGTCGTCATCATCACCGAAAATTTTATCATCATCATCATTGTCATCAGAGTGATGGCAATTAAAAACTCTAATGTTCACACCATCGTTAGATTAGATTGATTTTCAAAATGGCTCCATTATCACATCAGTGATGCTATCACGTCTCTTTAATGTCATCTTTTTTGCGCTCTTTTTATTATTTACAATTAAAAAATGAATGAATAAATAAATTAGAATGATATAATGATACAACGAAAAGGATATATTGCTAATGATGATACAACGAGAATGATATAATGATACAACGAAAATGATATATTGCTAATTTGCTAATGAGAACACAACAAAAATGATATAATGATACAACGAATATGATATATAATATTAGTAAAATATTATATAATGATATCTAAAATTACAAACTTGTAACTATTATATACTGTCTAAAATGACAATGATTCAAAGAGAAAGATATATTAGTGAGAAGGATATAATTATTTCTAAAATGACGATGATATAACGAGAAGGATATAATAGTGAAAATGATATAATGATATCTAGAATGACGATGATAAAAGTGATGGAAAGTAAAACAATATTTTTTGTAATATTATTCTTATAGAGATTAATTTTTGAAACTATATAAAATAATATTGCAATTGCTGATATTTATTTACAATAAAAGTGAAAATAATATTAATTAAAAGGTAATTCGTTCCATAAGTTAAAAACACTGATCGATACAAAAACTCCTTCGAAAAATGGCACATCCCTACGCTCCTCAATTTTTAGCTCAGCCAATGAGAGAGAAGCATTTTCGGCCACTAAGCTATTCCGTTGTTATGACTCGTCCGGTTAGGTGTGTGCGCGTGTGCATGTGTTTGTGTGTGTGTACGTGTACGTGTGTGTGTAATAATGATCGCTATTTAAATAAATGTATGTGCTGACATATGTACAACGAGTTGGTATGTGTCATATATAAATGTAAATTTTATAAACAAATGTATGTATGCTTGTGTGTAATTGTATGTAAAGGAGGTATGTATGTATGTTCTTGTTTGTATGTGTATGTTATATATCATAGATGTCTTAAGACATGTTATATATGTAGACATGTGCGTATGAAGAGTTGTATATTTGTATGTGTATGTATCATGCATGTTTTTATGTTTGTATCATAGATGTCTCGAAGTACTTCATCGAGATATCTATGATTTGTGTGTATGTATGTTTGGTTGTTTGTATGTATATATGTTTGTATGTATGTATGATAAGAAGCGGGCTGACCATGATAGAATTCTTATTGGAATTCATCAAAAAAGTGTTAGTTGTTAGTATTAACAAAAAACATAATTATGTTAACAGAACATGTTAGTTGTTAGTAAATGGGTTTAATTGTGAATTATTCAAGGACCGTTACATTCAAAGTTGCATCATTTATATAGAAAACTAGAAAAGTAATTTGTATTTTCTGTTATGTTGGCCATGCTCGATGAATTCCAATAAGAATTCATCATGGTCAGCCCGCTTCTTATCATTAAAATTTTTTAATTTTAAGCAGCAAATAAAATTTCGTTTCGTTTCGTTTTGTATATATGTATGTACGTATGTATGTATGTATGTATGCATGCTGTATGTATGCATGCATGTGTATGTGTGTGTACGTATGTGTTTGTATATGTGTGTAGTGTATTGCATGTATGTTCATACGTATTGTATGTACATGTACACATATTTATATATGCACGTGTGTGTAATTTTATACATGAGTGTATTTAATTTGCAGGCGGTTAAGTATGTATGTGAGCTTGTTAGAGGATGTGTATGTATGTATGTATATATGGATGTGTACGCATGTATATATAGATGTGTATGAATGTATATAAAATTGTTTATAGTATGAGATGTGTGCGTGCGTGTGTGTATTTAGGTAAAGTGTGACTCTGTGTGTATGTATGTGTATGTAAATATGTTAGTATTTTACTATGTGGAATCTTTTGTGCGTGTGTGTATATGTTAAAATATGGCTACATGCGTTTATATGCGTGTAGGTTCATATATGTGATTGTTCACGTGTGTGTGTAGTTTCTTAACTATGCGTGTTTTTGAAGCAACAAAGTTGACAATATTCTGACGATAAAGTTGAATTCGTTTCATCATCATTTAATTATGACATGGTTACGTAATATAACTTGAAGGTGACGTCACTGAAGCAACGTTTGTGATTGGCTGCTATTTAAAATTGCTACTACTACTAATACAACTAATAATCATAATAATAATAATAATATTATTATTATTATAATATAGAAAATTCTTATGTAAATTATGTTCTTAACGAATGCACACATATGTGTAATGATAATGACTATGACGACGACGATGATGATGACAATAGATGCTTATTATTGAAAAGCATTTAAATATCGCATATTTAAAAATGGTTCATTGGTGAACAGACAGACAAGCAAGCAAGCAAACATGATACATGATACATGATACATGATAGCTTCTGTTGATGATAGTGAGAATGATATCATGATATCTAAAATGACAATGATATAGTGATTACAGAACAGATGTTGAAAATTTGATTGCACGGTGGTGGTGCAAATATGGAAAAATGATTTATATATTGACACCTTCTGAAAATTAATCAATTATAACTGTAATACATATATGAATGCATGCACTTACATACATTTATTCATGCATGCATTAATGCGTTTGTTCGTTCGTTCAATAATTCATCAGTTTATCAATTGTTCGTTCAATGGTTCATAAAATCGCCCTTTTCTGTGTTTATTCTTTCATTCATTTCAATCACTCTTGTATTCAATCAAGTATATATGTATATATATATATATATATATATATATACAAGCATATATATATATATATATATATACACACACATGCATGCACGCACTCCACTATGGTTTGTACATCAGTGTGCATCATACATCAGTGCACAGCGGGAAACGTACATACATTAATGTACAACCAGCGATTGTGTGTTGTAGATAATGTACATTACACTTATATATACATTTATAACGTGTACACACACACACACACACGCATGTGCACACACACGTACACATGTATTTGTATAATAATAGGATGTGTGTATTTGTATGCAAATGTACACGCCGGGCTTATGTATCTCCATATATTTGTATACTTGCAGGGCGGATGGCTTACACGTATGCACAATGAATGCAATATGTTGGTAGTACGTATATATGTTTGTATGAATGTATGTTTGTTTGTATGTATGTATGTTTTTATGTATGTATGTATGTAAATATTTATATGTATGTATGTATGTATGTATGTATGTATGTATGATGAGAGGACTACTCAGTTTCAGTTTGTTATTGTATATATATATTGCAAGGTGACTGTACTAAGTGTTGTTTCATTGCCCCGTTTTGTTATGCGTATGTTTGGTTTCATTGCTCCACACTGTACTACTGTGCCAAAAAGTTGGTTCCATTTTTTGATACTATTGCATAAACAAACATTACGAAACTTATGCTAACATTAACACACACACCCACACACATACAAACAAACAAATACACCCATACATAGTACATTCACACATATACGCATATGTACTTCTTATACATACATTGCCATTCACTAATGTGCACTATGTACAATTGTGTGTTTTATTTTTACACTTGTATAATATATTTTTAAGATAAATACACATGTGTATTGCGTGTATTGTTTTGTACTGTGTGTCGAGTTTTGGTATTTGGAAATTTTTTACCTAATTAAAATTTGAAAATTGTAATCTTATTTATTTTTTATTTCTTCAGAAAAAATCGCTTTTAAAGACCTATAGGTTAGCTGCTGTCTTTTTTGTCGTTCATTCATTCATTGATTCATTCATTCGTTCATTCATTCATTCGTTCATTCATTCATTCATTCATTCATTCATTCATTCATTCATTCATTCGTTCATCCACCCATATTCTTTATTTTATGTACATTTAATTATAATATATATAAATATTTTTGTTCTTAATTTAATGTTTATATATTTGATTTCGTTTTGCCCCTTCGTAAAGGTTGAAAAACTCAATTAAAAAACATGCTGAAGTAAATGCTTGCTTATAATACGTACACAATTAATTTGGTGTACATTTCAGTTGCTTTTTCTTCTGTTTAATTTTAATAACTAATAAAATTATTCATATGATTGATTAGCTATGATCTTTATTTATTTACACTTTTTTCTCACAATAAAATCTGCTTGTAGTACTGCTTGCAACTACTTAGCTATTGACTTTGCATGCTGTCTATCTTATTTATATCCTATCTATTTATCTATCAATCAATCAATCAATCAAACAATCTACCTGTCTGTATTTTGCTATCTATTTATCTATCTATCTATCTTATATCCTATCTATCTATTTATCTATCAATCAATCAAACAATCTACCTGTCTGTATTTTGCTATCTATCTATCTATCTATCTATCTATCTATCTATCTATCTATCTATCTATCTATCTATCTATCTATCTATCTATCTATCTATCTATCTATCTATCTATCTATCTATCTATCTATCTATCTATCAGTCTATCTATCAGTCTATCTATCTATCTATCTAACTATATCTATAACTTCCTTTAACTATATCCTGTATATCTCTTTGCGTGTTTTGGGTAAATAAAATTGAGATATTTGCGACTTGAACTATTAAAATTTTGAATATGTAATAATGTTAATGTGATAATACAATGTTTTGTAATGGCGTTAATGTTATTTGTTTTTGTAGTGTACAGTAGGCTACTTGAAAAAGTTAAGTGAGATATGTAGGTTACTAGATCCAAAGTATGTTTGCTATGTTTCACTCAATGTTTTAAAACTTATGATAGAATTCGATCATGTTGTTTTTATAATGTTCTAGTGTTTTGTTTTGTTTGTATGTTTGTTTGGTTGTATGTTTCTGTCTGTTTTTGTAGGTTTGCTTATGTTTTAATTTGTTTGTGTTGATGATTTTACTGTTTTTATGGTATGTTTTTTCGTTAGTTGGGATGTGAATTATTCACTTAACACTATGTAGATTGAGAAATCATTTGCAAACGGTGGCTACGGTTACATTGATACTATACATTGGTGAAGGTTTTACGTTTAACCAAATTCTTCAATGTTTTTATTTACAATATATCGATATCTATCTATCTATCTATCTATCTATCTATCTATCTATCTATCTATCTATCTATCTATCTATCTATCTATCTATCTATCTATCTATCTGTATGTATGTATGTATGTATGTATCTATCTATCTTTCTATCTATCTATCTATCTATGTATGTATCTATCTATCCATCCATCCATCTATCCATCCATCCATCCATCCATCTATCCATCCATCTATCCATCCATCTATCCATCCATCTATCCATCTATCTATTCATCCATCTATCCATCCATCTATCGTTTAGCTGGAAGTGATGATGATCGTTCCAATGTTACCCATCTATCTATCCATCTATCTATCCATTATCCATCTATCTAGATAAATATATCAAGTCCTCAAAATTTAGAAATTTACACAAGATCGTAAAAGTCACGCTATAAGCAAAGAATAGAAATTCATGGATAATCATACGATATATAATTTACAAACTTATTTTAAATTTAAAGTAAATAAACCACAAAAAAGAAATATAAAAATGACGTTAACTATTTGATCGCTCATCCAGCGTAATAATTAGCCACACACTAACCATCACTGGCTAGCTGGCTGTAGGCTGGCTTGTTTGGCTTATTGTTATGTGTTTGTTTTACCTGTACCATTGTGTGTGTGTGTGTGTGTGTGTGTGTGTGTGGATTTGTTCGTGTATCTCGGTTCTTTTTGTGGTGCGTATGTGTATGCTGTGTGTATATTATGTATGTGTGAGCTGTTCAGTGTTTCTTTCTCTCTCTCTCTCTCTCTCTCTCTCCAAGCATACACGTGTGTGTTTATTGTTTTAGTGATATATATCGTTATAGATTTTTTGTGTTATAATTGGCATTTGGCATAATGTTGCTTCCTGTGTTTGTGTTTTGTTGTTTTGATTGTTAGCATTGTTGGCATTTGCTAGTATTGTTGCGTATTTTTGGTATTGTTGCTGTGTTTTTGTTGTTTCAAACATCAACCAACAATGTCATCATTTTATTTCTATCTAAATTTATGTAATCCGATAATACTGCCATGAAAATGATGGTGCCATGTTGAAAATAGTTTTGTTTTTTGTAGTTGTTGCGTGTCGTTGGATGTCGTTGCGTATTGGCGACATTTTTTGCGTCTATGATTAAGTGATGTTGTATTTTGTATGGAATTAGTATACCTTTTTAAAAAGTGTGATTTTTTACTGCTATGTGTGGTTCTATATTGTTGAATGTGATTGTGTTATGTTGAATTTTGTCGCTTTGCCTTGTTATTTTAAAACGCAGCACACACACTTTCTCACACAACACACACACACACAGTGTCATTTATTTTATTGTATTTACTAAACAATCATCACAAAAACTAATTTCAATAATTTCACAATATTATTAATAATATATTTATCATTTTAATTATTATTTATTCATTCGTTTTTATTTTAATTGACTTTAAACAAACTCAAACGCCAGTGTTTTTGTATGGAATGTGATATTGTTGATAATGCATGATCTAAAAATAGCCGAAACTCCTGATAACGATAGATAGTGTGTGTGTGTGTGTGGGTCTGTGTGTGTGTGTGGGTGTGTGTGTGTGTGTGTGTGTTCATTGTTGTGTGTGTTGCATTATATATCAAATTCAAATATTCAAATTAAATTACCCTTCTTAATGGTTTCAATGCAATGGCCATTCTAAGCAGATCACTCGGCTTTTGAGATAAGTAAATGTTTATTGTTTCATTTTCTACGCCAGTGAATGTTTTATCTGTGCGTTTGTATTTCTGTATGTATGTACGTGTGTTGAATTGTTTGTTTGTATGTCTGTATGTTTGTGTACGTATACAAGTATGCACGTTTAATGGATGTATGAATGATACGTATACATTTTAGTGTACATTTAAGTATGTATTTTTTGGGGTTAGACTATCATAAATACAATTATTTATAAAGATCACTGCGTTTTCGGTATTATTCAACTTGTTGTTGAGTTTAACTTCATCAACATGATAAAAATCTCGTTAGAAAAATTGGGAGACTCAAGTACAAGTTGAATAATGCCGAAAACGCAGTGATCTTTATAAATAATTTATGTATGTATGGTATGTATATGTGTGTATTTATAAACGCTTGTGTGTGTTAACATATGCGTGTGTCTTTGTGTGTGTGTGTGTTTTTGTATGTGTATTGCCATATGCTTTTATGTGCATTAGAGCAGATCAATATGAAAAAACAGATGGAAGGTGTGTGTTGTTGTTGCAGTTTTGCGTCGTTTGGTGTGTTGTTGTTGCAGTTTTTTGTATGTTATGTCGTGTTTTTGGCATGTAGTGTTGTTTTTTATATGTTTCATATGTTGTAGTTGCTTCGCTCTTGCATTGTGTGCATTGTTCTTCGCTGAGTTGTGATGTCTGTAGCACATCCGCTGCACGTAATGATGTACACACGCACGTGTTGTTGCACGTAACGTACGTACCTCGTCACATTTTTGTACATAACATTGCTCGTACATTCGAAGACACGTACGAACACACAAAGTTGCGTGTACAACAACAATAGCACAACAAATTGTGTGTTTACTGAACTTGTATGACTTTCACATAGAAAGTGCATTCTTCTGAACATGTACTTGGGGCCATGTTCACAAGAAATTTTCGTTCAGAGATTTAAGGGACCAAGGATATTGAGATCTAGTCCAGTTTCTTCGCTCACAACGATTTTTTGCTCTAAAAAGTTTATACATACATACATACATACATACATACATATATATATATATACATACATACATAAGCGCTTCTGAGGTTTTTCAAGAGAAGCGATATACAAATTTTGACACACACACACACACCACACACACACACACATACATACACACATACATACACACACATTTACTTATTGTTCACGGTTTGTTATTTTTTATTGATTAAATGATTGTTTTTGTCCTCATTGATGTTTTCTTCTTGTTGTTTTTGTTACTGTTATTAATTTTTGTTGATGTTGTTATTTTTATTATTGGAATGACCCAAATTTCTTTTCACATTAATTCAAGAATAAATATTTTTGCGCTCTGCTTCTGCTGTGGATTTATTTTTTCATCAATGTTCATGGTGAAATCGATATTGAAGAATATTTTCGCACCGGGTCATTGCTTTCTCTGCGGTTACACTTGCGAGTACTGAACATTTTTGGAGTGAAAACACCAATTTCGTAGTTAAAAGGCTTATTTTTGTGACAATATAGCTGTTCTTGAAATAAAAATGAGTGAAAAATACATGTTTTTGGTGTTAATGCTTCCTTTTGTAATAAAGGTACTTAGTTTTTTAATGAAACATTTATTTTTTAGGTAAAATTACTCTTACTTGTGACAAAAATTGCCAAGATTGTAGCAGCTGAAGCCGTATTTATTGTTAGTACTTTATGAATGATTTTAAAACGTCTCATTAATTTTTCACTGTAATGATTTATTTGACCTTTTTAAGTCATTTATTCATTCATTTAGTTTGTTTGTTCGTTTGTTCATTCATTCATTCTTTCTTTCTTCGCCATTGTCTTAGTCATGAAATGATTGATTAAGGTGAATATAAACACTTGAAATGAATGATTGACTGAACGAATGAATGAATGAATGTGTAAGTAATGAATAAATGCATGAGTGTATGCCTGCATGTATGTATGTATGTATGTATGAATGAATGAATGAATGAAGAACTACATAAGTGTTTAAATGAATGAATGAAGGTATAAACAAACATTTTTTTAAAATTTGCTTGCATCGATGTTTACATAAATGTATAGTGGCCACATACAAACATTTACAAAACGTGGATTGTATACATATGCAAGCGTAAATAAAAACATACAATCTTATTTATGAATACATTGTGTATATTGTACAGGTACAAATAAGCAAACTTATATCATTATACATACAGCACGGTGTAGAGAAATGCTTAAGCTCGATCATTGAAAAATGCTTCAATATCATTTAAATATAACGCCCCGGCCGTCTAGCTCTAGCTCATATGCGCTAAAGATGCATTAGCCGAAATTAACTGTATTTATTAATTTTTCAAAATTAAATTTATAATTGAAGAACGGAAAACAATTAAAGATAACAAAATATACAAATTCCGAACACACACAAGAGTCTACTACTCACAAACACACCTACATACACGTACGCACATATATACATGCGTTGTACTATCACACACGCACATAATCCAATACGTTTTAACACGCATAAAAACACGACTCATGTAAAAATGCTGCTTATTTTAAACTGTACATTACACGCACACACATACGCACACACAAACGCGTACGCACTTATAAGCATACAAAGTATATATATATATATGTATATATATATATATATACATACAGTCACACATACTCACATATACGCGCAAATAAACGCAGTTGCATTTTATCACGTTTTGGTTTTTATCTCACTTCACTCATTCACTCACCCACTCACTCAGAAGACTACGAATATATACATACGCGTTGTATATCATGCGAGTGTAGATATACAGTATATATACAATTTATACATTGATGCTCACATTAACTATGCAAGCACACAAGCCAGCAACAACTGGACCATGGTTCTTTGTGTAATTTATAATAAGTTGCGTGTGCGTATGTGCGTGAGTGTACGCGCTCACATTAGTGTACAATTCAAGTGTGCATGTATGTATGCATTTGTATTTCTGCTAATGTTTGCTTCTGTGTGTGTAAGTATGTATTAAGTATGTATGTGTATGTTTGTACGTGCGGTGTGTGTATGTGTTGTGTGTGTGTGTTTGAGCGTCCGTTCATTAACATCAGTTAACCATCTTTTTATGTTTCAGATCGATGGTTTAAATTAAAGGCTCAAATACATTGTATTGCAGGTACGTATCATTCTAATTTGTGTCTGAAACCTCATATTTCCTATTCCACGATGACGCATTTTACAAAAATTGTAATAAAACGTCAGCAATAACACAGACACGCACGCACATACAAACATACAAAAACTCGTACGCCACTCTCCCACATACACATATAGCCCATACACGCATACACATTCACACAAGCAGATACGAACGTACCAAAACATACAAGCACAAATGTAGGAATGAATTCAAAGAGATTTAATTTATTGAAGAATAATTGTTTAAATTTGACCTTATCTTATCCTTCTGTATGCATTACCAGTGCATCTAAACAAAGCACGCACAACGACACATACACGCACATACACACACACACACACACACACACAACATACTTACATACACACACTATAGCACATACACGCATACATACGTACAACATAAGTGGCGTGTACATAATGGATTGCAAACAAAACATCTCTATACTAAGATTTATACACACAATACAATAATTGTTTGTATAAGTGGTATAAGTACAACCATACATATTTATAAGTATGCAACACACACATAAAAGCCACATACATACACGCAAACACACACATACCTACCATACACACACATACAAACATGCATACATCACATATTTAAAATCCAAATGCTTACACAGCAACTAAAAATACTCAACTTTAACCAGAGTTATATGCTAAAATAATTAATTTTATAGTAACTACTTTTTAAACTTACATAGCCTCTTGACAATTTTGCACTACTACAACACTCTAATTCTAAAGCTATTTAAAGCTAATATTTATCTAAATTTTAAATACTGAACTGATAAATTAACCACTAACCCTTTTAAAATTATTTTGCATTAAATGATCAGGCTAATTCAACAAATACTCTTACTCATAAAATTACTGAATACTGAAGCTAATTACAAATACTTACACTAATATTACCACAAACATATAGCGTTATTATTACTATTATTATTGTTATTATTATTTACTACTACTACTACTACTACTACTACTACTACTACTACTACTACCACTATTACTACTACTACTACTACTACTACTACTACTACCACTACTACTACTACTACCACTACTACTACTACTACTACTACTTACTACTACTGCTGCTGCTGCTGCTACTACTATTTCTACTGCTACTATTACCACTACCACCACTGGTACTATTACTAGCATAAGTAGTTCTACTACTAATACTACTGCTACTGCCATTGAATCTTTTTTTTAGAATTAAATAAAGAAACGTTACCAAATAAAATTAAATATCCTTTCAGATTAAAATGAAGAAAATTAGCCAATGAAGAACGCTGCAATGACTTGACCCCGAGAGCCAAAAAAACTGTGTATAGTGTAGATAATAATTAATAGTCGTTTGTATATATCTGAGGGGAAAAACGTTGGCAACAGCCAGAGAAGCAACTGCAGTCACCACTACTACTTAGGACTAAGATTTTTTTTTACAATTTTTGTAAGAAGGAAAGAATGATGGAAACTGATCATTTTCTGAACGCTGCCTGCCAGCCAGAAGATGGTTAGAGATTTATTTGTTTTAGATTGTTTAATAATTTTTAATGGTTTCTATGGTTTTAATAGATTAATTTACAAATGTTTTGATGTTTTAATTTGTTTATTAAACTAATATTGACTGAATTAAATGCATATGTTAGAATTTCGCATAATATACATTGTGATTTTATTCATTTTTAAATTAATTCGTGAAGTGTTCCAAGTGTTGAACGGGATCAGCGGTATTTGTAGCGGCGACAACAGCCACAACCAGCTGCTACAAGACACTTCTGATGATCTGTGTCAACAACTGCAACAGCAGGAGCACATACATACATTGCAGCAATACCAACACTTGTTCCTCTCAGCACCGCAGCTACATCAACAACAACCTCAGCACCACCAGCAACAACATATCGAACTACACTTACAAATTCAACCGATACAACAACAGCAGCTGCAGCAACAACAGCTGCAACAACAAACGCCACGCTTGCAACTATTTACGTTTAGTAGGGATAATACGAAATCAGAACAAACACAACCACCACCACCACCACAACAACAACAACAACAACAGCAAAAACCATGCCAACAACAAAACTCTCCCTCAGCTGCAGCTGGCAAGAACGAAGCCAAACTAAAAGGAAAATATGGTGAATGTGTTGTTTGTGGCGACTCTGCTCACGGCAATTATTTTCACGCTTTTGTTTGTGTGCCCTGCAAGGTTCAAATTTTCATCTTCATTTTTTTTTTACAATTCTTTCTAGTGTTTTTCAAAGTGATTTAACAACACATACACGCACACACATACACGCACATTGCATGGGAGAGGCAGCAGAAGTTTATAAACATTCAAACAAGAGATGCATTGAATAGTGAATTTGGTTAGCTCGCAATACGGCCAAAGCTGAAGGCCCAATACTAAAAGATCAACAGTATATCGAACAAAATTCAAATTTTTAGAATGAAAAACAGGTTATTGTAAAAAAACACGTCCATCCAACAATTCTTCAAGATAATATTAAATCTCTTGTTCATATTCAATGATGGCGAAAATAAATTTCCCACTATAATATTTAACAATTATTTTCATGGAATGCAAAAGAGTGATGGCTCTAAAGGATGCTGCTCTATTCGGCTATTTGGGGCTTTAAAATGGCCGAAGCCGTATGTCAAATTTCGGCCGATTGTTTGTCCAGGTCAATACATTGGGGCATATCTAATTGATTCCGGTCACTACATCATTACAGCCAGGCACATGAAACATTACACCATTACATTGCGCCATCTATTTTATTATTCAAATTAATATTTTTGCTATTAAGTTTTATATTTTCCAATTATTTCAGACGTTTTTTCTAAGATATGCGGATGAACACGCCCAGTTCCAATGTAAATTTAATGGAAATTGTGAAATAACATTGACGACTCGAACCAATTGTAAACATTGCCGCTATCAGAAGTGCGTTAAACAAGGCATGTATAGAAAAGGTATGTGTATGTATGTATGTTTGTTTGTTTGTATGTATGTGTGTGTGTATGTGTGTGTGTGTTTGTGTTTGAGTGTATGAAAAGAGTGTATGACAATAGTTTGAGTCTATCACAAGAGTTTCAGATTTGCTATCGATTATAATTAGCAATAATGATAATAATAATATTAATAATAATAATAATTTCATTTTTTCTATTTTTTATTAAAAGAAAATTGAAATGACATACTATTTTGTTGCACTAGTTCGTAACCCTCAAGTTCAGTTGGCAGAGGGTCAACACAAATGTGTCGTATGCGGAGACCTTGCTAATGGTATTCATTTCGGAGCCAATACATGCGAAGGATGCAAGGTTTGTGTTTATGTGTCTCTATGTGCTTGTGTGTTTGTGTTGGTATACTTGGGTACATGTGTATGCATTTGTGTGTGTGTGTGTGTGTGTGTGTGTGTGTGTGTGCATAATTTTCATTATGTAGGCAAGCATTCTTCGCATGCTTCTCAGAAATTTTTCCGACGAGGTCTGACTGAAAGTGGATCATACTCATGTAAGAACAACCATGACTGTAAGATCAACCCTAACACGAGGAACAATTGTAGGTTTTGCCGATTTAAGAAATGCCTGGATGTTGGCATGTCAAGGGCAGGTCTGTTCCTAGCTTTATTTTTCTCTTAGTTTTGACGATGATTATTAATACGGATACTTTTTAACAACGACAAGAATATTTAAAGAGAATGGTTTCAAAATTTTTAAATTTTGTATCAGCTATTCAGATGGGGCGTCCATCAAAGGCAAGTGCGGAAAGTCTCAACTCTCAAAATAATTCAATCCTTGCCGACCAAAAGAAAAAAAGAAGTCAGTCGCATGAACAGAATAGAAATAACTTTGTCCTAGGTAGGGCCGATTTAGGTGACTCTCTTGAGTTTAGTGAACCACAACATGGTGTTTATTACGAACAACAACAACAACTAATTGGAGATATATTCACTCCTCAAGATTCAAATTCTCAACTCTTACAAGCTCATCAGCAGCAGCAACAGCAACAGCTGCAACACCTACAGCAGCAGCAGCAGCAACGCCAACTGCACATGCATCAACTACAACAAGCAATGTCGTTGCAAAACCAACCAGTTCAGCAGACGTCGCCTATTGCGCTACAATTACAACAATCTCAAACAGTTTATACTGAACAACGCTCTCCACAACAACTTCAACAGCAACTACAAACTTTTCCCATTCAGGAACGTTCACCGCCACAACAACAGCAGCAGCAACAACAACGACAACAGCAGCAGCAGCAACAACAACTTGTTTACATTCAGCAAAGGACACCATCCCAACAGCAACAGCAGCAGCAGCAACAACAACAATCTACAATTTTTTTCCAGCAAAACTCACCGGCTCAACAACAACACACACAAAAGCACAGTCCTCCAAACTCTCAGCAGCAAGCAGCATTCATGCAGCAAGTACCAGCCAACAACAACAACAGCAACAAACAAACAATGGTTTTGCATAACTCGCCACAGCAACATTCAACATTTTTGACACGATCACCCCAGCAGCAAACTATTTTTTTGCCACAAAGTTCGCCACTATCTCTACAACAACAACAACCTCAGCAGCAGCTTCATCAACAACACCAGCAACAGCAGCAGCAGCAACTACAACAACAGACATATTTGCAACGACCACAGCAACCACCACAACAGCAGCAGCAACAGCTAACATATTTGCAGCGGCCACAGCATCATCAACACCAGCAACAACCACAGCAGCATCAACAACAGCAACAGCATTTTTTACGTCCTACACAGAGACAATCAAACTTGCTCAATCAACTCCACCAAGACAATCCCTCTCAAATAGGTCTGAATGCATTTTTGTCTGGACCAATTACTGTTGAAGCCGTAACTTTAGCGGCATCTCCTTGTGACGACATGTGTGGATTGGGATGCGCATGCAGCAAAAATTCCAGCCATTTTAAGCGCCTAGACAGCAGTAGCAGCAATCTACTGGATTCATCATCATCATCTCCTGGAATGAAAAATTTATTCGATGATTCCAATCTGAACTTGGACGATTATGCATGCGACAACAAGCACGACTTTCTTCTTGATGATTCGAAAAATTTGAAAGAATTAATGTTCAACCAAGATGATGAGTTTTCTAATCTCCATCAACAACAATATAACCACCACCAACAACAACAACAGCAGTTGCAGCCACAGTCACAAAAACGACAGCAGCAGCAACAGCAGCAGGAACAACAGCTTCAACTCCATCAATCACAGCATCAAGACCAGGAAAATCAACAGTGGATGGATTATCTTCCTGACTCTTTTTTGAACGAAGATGTTAACAAGTATTTTGTTCAAAATAGCTACAACAACAACTGCACTAACATCAACAGCAATAACACCAATAACATCAGTAACATCAATAACCTTATTATCTGCAACAACATCAACGACAATAGCAAGGAACCAGGCATGAAATCGGAAGAGGTTGATGTTGACGATGGGAAATTAGATTCCAGGACAATTTTGACATTCATTAATAAAAAAACATGCGATGCAAAATCTCCCCGAAAACCAACATCTTCTGCTTTGCGTAACAACGATGACAACGTCTTCGAATGCATATATGGGAGCGATTTTTCTTCTCTGGATTGGAACAATCGCTGCTTGTTTGACGATTTAGTAAGACTGGACCCTTTCAAACACGTCAACTCTGAGGATTTGAAAAATTTAATTTGCACGCAATCTTTCATGGATCTCTTCACTATGAATCCAAGTAACATCCCAGATAAAGGCTGTCTCTTAACGAAAATAAACAATTTTGATGTTAATCAGTCTTTTTTTGATAATTTTATAAACTTTGGAAACGATTGTAATAGCTTGGGTGTAGACAATCGTAATTCCATTTTTCCTTCTCTCGGTGAATTGGAAAATCAGGAGAGATCTTTAGTTTGCAGTACCTTGAAAATGAACGTCGAGCAGTTCATGGAATTGAAAGAACAGAGGGTGAAACGAACATGTCTGAATAACAAAATTAACCCTTGGGACGTTGAGGATGTCATACGAGAAATGAAGAACTGCAACATTAGTCAGAAAAGTTTGGGATTTAAATGCATCAAAAAGATTTTTTTGAAAGATTTAAATGTTTTAATTTTGGAGAACATTGGCGAGAGTTCCAGTGAAGTGGGCTCCTGGAATACAATCATCATTAAAGTAGTCGATGTTACGAGCGGTAGCGGAAGCAACAGCAACGACGTTCAGAATAATTGCCATAATATAATTGTGAGCAAGTTAGACAAATTTTCTAACAAATCCTACTCCATTGTGAATGTTTCATTTTCATTATCAAAAACCCCGTCCATTTTAAAATTTCAAAACTTCCGAAATGGAGCCAATAAGAGCAAAAAAGAGAATCAGATCATCAGTAGGTCACTGGTTAGATACAACGACGACTTAAAGATCTACATGGCACTATTGAAATACGACCTCGTCAACGTCTTCACCGCCATGAAGGAGGGCGAAAAACTTGTCGGGATAGCCTCGCGAGGGGTTGATGGAATATATGAGCCCCATTGGATAAGAGATCACAAGATGATGTACGAATGCTTCTCTAAAGAAGAAAAACACGAAAACGACCTGCCACCCGATGACCTAACCATGATTGAAAATGACTTTCATGTAGATGAATGTTTCTTTGAAGGCGGCTTGAGTATGCAAGAGATCGCACGAGAAAGCAAGCTTTACTGGCACAGTATCGAGTATCCGGCTGCTGATGCTGAATGGATTCATGCGTACCAGAAGTACTACCAAGATCACTTCGTTCCCTACCGAGCCTTCTTAGTCAACAGCATTGAGATGAACTTTGCTTTGGCCTACAAATTTACGGTTAGATTATAAAAATGTTTCATGAAATTTGAAAGTGAATAATGATTGGGTTGTGTTATTTTGATTTTTAGTACATGTCATCTTTAAATTATATAAAATAATATTTTCAATTCAATTAAACATAGTTTTAATAAAAACATTATGACAAATAAGCATTATTTCCAAACTGCCACTTAGCATTTCATGACGGGAGAAAAATCTTTAAACGAGTTATCGAGGTTTGTAGAAAAGGTCGTTGTTCCTAATTTCACAGTGTTGGCTCTGGAGTACATGAAAGCTCTGCCAGGTTCGCGCTTAGTGACGCTAGATTTTGCTGTGCTGCTCTTTTGATGAGTCATTTAAAAACTTGTCTGTCAAAAAATTTGTCTGATCAAAGCTAAGAGCAAAAAATGTTGTATTTTAAAATTGATTGTAAACAAAAGTTTCTTACTAACAGAAAAAAGGCACACAATTAATATCCTTAGTTATTATTGAATAATAATGAATTGTTGGTTGTGAAGCTTAAAATCATTGAATTATTACATAACTATCTCATTTTCATGAAAATACCTATGACCTCTCTGGTTCATCAATTTCGAAAGATGCAAATATCTTTTATAAATGTACGAACATGCGTGAACTTGGTCTCAGGATTCAAAGAATTGCACCAGGAAGATCAGAAAACCATCCTTCGTCTGGCTCAGTCACCGTGTAGAATCCTCATAGCCGCCCTGCACCGCTACAACCCTGAGAAGGACACCTTCGCCAGCGAGTTCCTCCCATGGCGAAGACTCCCCGGACAGAACGACAAGTTCTACAACAAGCTTGTCCAATTCGCTCGAAAAATTCGACGCGTGCAGTTGAGCACTGAAGAAGAATGCCTACTCAATGCTATGATCATTTTTGCATTAGGTAGCTGACGAATTTGTTGTAAATATCAAAATTGTCAAAATGTAGAACTGTAAATATGCATACCTGTGTTGTACAATTGCGACTGGCAGTCAGCCAACTGAACGCTTGAAACATAAATGCAGATTATCCTGGTCTTCGCGATCCAGAGAAAGTTCAAAGCATCAGTGTTCCTCTTTTGAAAGCTTTCAGAGCATACACCACCGGCTAGTTCTTCAACTTCATTTATCATATTAATCGTTCATTGATATTTTATTTTTAAAGTTTATAAAAAAATTTTAGATTTCACCTATCATTCAATTGCATTAATACATTTTTGCATTTAAAATTTTGTCACCCTAACATAGAAACTTCAAACACTCATTAAACATCAAGCACACACACGCACACACGCATACAGACACGCATACACACGCAAAATACAAAACTTAATCTACACACACACACCACACACACACACACGCACAAAAACACAACTAACAAACGAATAACAACCACAAAATAGCTTTCAATCCAAAAGGGAGTCGAAACACCCGGCTCGAGTACATCCTTTCATTTGCCCCGGAACTCCGTCACATCGGGCTGTTGCACCACCTAAACACCACCCATCCCAACATCTTGGAAGACCCTTCCATCTGCGTACCTTACTCAACCTACTCGTCTTGCATCGATTGGAACAACAACTGCAGTCCCCAAGCAATCAGTCTCCTGAATATGGGTAGAGAAAGTCTGACGGAGTGAGAAATTGATGAAAAGTTTGGTTTTTTTAAAAGTCTCGAGTGAAATATCCGATCGGTATAGCGAATATCGGTTCGGTAATTTTGTTAGCTTTTGTCTATCGATCCGTTATAGCGGTTATCATTTCGGCAATTTTGTTAGTCT